CACTTCGCCCCTTTCCCATTTCGCCCCTTTTTTACATTAGGCCACATAAGAAATGTTTTGCTTGGTCGTGGGTCTTAGGGTTAGGGTTATGGTTACGGTTAGAGTTTAGATCTAATGATGAATAGAGCCGTATTTACATAGAAACAGAATGGAATAAAATATGGAATACAATTCGGCAGTAAAAAAAAGAAAACAGATATTGTTCATCGGAGCATGCTTTAACTTTAAAGGGGACCTATCATGCTAAATGCACTTTTGTACGTCTTTTCTACATGAATATGTGTCCCCGGTGTTCCAGGGAACTCACCAAGTGTCAGAAAACACAACCCTCTCTATTTTCCTCCATACCCAAATCTCTAAAAAAGGGGCTGCAACGGATCTGATAAAAACTGATCCAGATTTGAACACTGTCCTGACGTCAGGACGGTGGCGCTACGGCTATTGGGCCAACTCCACCAATCAGGAGGAGACAGCCACGGACATTGCCGTTCGAAAGCGCTGGAGACGCTGTAGTACATATGCCAGGCCTGTAGGTGGTGCTGTTCTCACTGAATCAGCCCTTGCTAAAACAGAGCTAACATTTTTCAAATTGAGCAAAATGAGGCATGGCTAAAATGCATGATCTGTTTGGTATTTTGAAAAAAAAAAAGTATAAATATGCCTTATATAGGTATGGTCCTACACTATATTATTCAAATATAGCATGATAGGTCCACTTTAAGGGGGGCCGTGATAAAGGAAACCAATGTGGTGTCGTTATGATTCAGCTCAGGATCGATTCATATCTTTCATCACATCCAGAGGACTTACTGTGCCACCATTACATGTTAAAAAACAAAAAGCAGTAGGTGGTGAAGACACCAGCGGGGACAAATTGGGCACATGTTCTGCCCTGGAGGCTTAAAGCCACACAATGCAGCACGACTCTTTGTGAAATAAAAGACCGGTCGCTTTAGCCTCCAGTGCTCCAGGACTGTCCTATTCTTTCCCATCATGCATGAGGAAATGACCGGACAAAAGTGCTCCCTCAGCACGGACAGCCTCTCTCAAGTTGCTGTAGGAAACGCAGAGGAACACGTGGGAGAGCTGCTGAGATGAGAGGCTCAGAGTGTCATTTCTCACCCTGCAGAAACACTCCATCAGCAAATAATAAGAGCCCACTGTGTCAAACTGTCACACCATCAGCAAGCGGGAGGAACGGTAAATACTGCTTGGAAAAAAGGATGTGATTTTTATTGCCTACATTTTGGGGATTAAGTGAAGCAAAAACAAAGCATTTTTTAATTTACTTTAAAATATAATTAGAATTCCTTTATTTATCTTTGCGTCTGTCCGATGTTGTGACACATAGGACGAATTCAGATATGCTGATATTTTCAAACTTATTTTAGGCACATATTTCTTTCCACCCTAACTGCAATCAGGTCTCTCCTGCGGTGGAGTTAAAGAGGCCCTGTTATGATATATGAGGTGTGTTCTATACGTTTTAGTGCATGTAAATGGTCTGCAAAGGCTACAATCCTAACTTCTGGAACAAAGTGACATCACTATGTAACACATGCGCTCCTATTGGTTAGCGCTCCAACACATTGTACGTGATAGGCTAAGGGGCGGGACATCTCTAAGAGGTTGACCAATCACAACAGAGCCGGCCAGCTAACCAATCAGAGCAGACTGGGCTCTGGCTTCAGACAGAGGGTGAAAAGAGGTGCTGCAGCACAGACAGTATGAGAAAAATAAAGAGCTTTTTGAACATGAAAGCATGGAGACATGTAGAGACACTACATACTGATATACACATGGAGACATGTCCCAGGAGAGACACTACATGGAGACATGTCCCAGGAGAGACACTACATGGAGACATGTCCCAGGAGAGACACTACATGGAGACATGTCCCAGGAGAGACACTACATGGAGACATGTCCCAGGAGAGACACTACATGGAGACATGTCCCAGGAGAGACACTACATGGAGACATGTCCCAGGAGAGACACTACATGGAGACATGTCCCAGGAGAGACACTACATGGAGACATGTCCCAGGAGAGGCAAATACGATTAGGATTCCTTTATTCATCTTTGCTGCTTATACTTTAGGTATGTCTAATATTGAGACACATAGGCATGCACAATATTGGATGTTCAGACGAGCCCATATTTTCCAACTTATTCACAAATTCCTTTCCACGTATTAATTGCAACCAAGTCTCTCTGCTGGTGGAGTTCAATATCATCAAATATTTTTCACATTTTACACACTCACCGGGCATAACAGGTTGAATGTAAAACAGAGTCGATGTGTTAAAGTAAATAATCAGCCTGGCATATGTGGTGGGAAATGTTCTTTACATTTTTACCAATATGACAGCAACAGCAGCCCACAGAAACCCTCATATTGTTGCATCTTCCCACCAACATGATGCTGGTCTGCTTCATTAGTTTCTGAGTGCAGCCCACGAGGGGTTTGTGTGTAATGGAGGGTCTCTAAGCCCTGTGTGGCCCTCTGAAGGAGACAGTGATACTGCAGGATTACCAACCAGACGCTTCATCACACCAACATGTGAGTGAAACAAACCAAAGGTTAATGTCTCACGGTGAATGTCAAACTACGCTCACAATGCCAACCAATTAGACGCCATTAAGCTGCTCATACACTCACTTAGACACTTCCTCCATCAGCCTGCTGCAGTAATCATGATTTAAACTCTTTCTCAGGAGAAACGACAGTTTGATGAGGTCTGTAATTACACTATAGTTCATTTGGAAAAGGGGTAAAGTGTTGCACATCAAGAGAAACAGATTAAGATGTTAATGTGGTGCAGGCGAAAAGGGAAAGTTTATCAAAAAATAATTTTGCATAGTGGTTTTGAATCTAATGCAACCATTTATCTCCAACAGTTGGAGTGAATTAAAGAAGTTGCACATGTTGCTTCTGACATAAGCAGAACATAAATCAGAAAAAGTGGTGCATTAAATCATAATTTATGTGCATTTTAATCAGTATTGAGTTAATAGTGTGAGCAACAAATAAAGGATTAATTCCCTTTGTCCGTGCACCTGCAGATGATCAATCATTCAGCCTGCATGCCACTGAGCAGCTGGAGGGACGTTTATCTGCATGGACACAACATTATACAGCGGGGAGAAACCCGGTATTGATGCAGAGATTGTGCTGTTAAAGTCTGCATGGGACACAAGGACCATGAAGAGTGAGAGAGAATGGTTCACACAGCACCGCAGTGAGCAGGCTTGCAGCAGGAGATCCATATTGACGGAGAACTCTGAATGCAGATCGATAATCATCGGATCGAGCATGAGGAAGTCCCCACTGCATGCATGCACACACACACACACACACACACACTGCATTGGAAGGAAAGTGAGGATGAAAAAATAAAACACACACACATACCGGTTCCGTGGTCATGTTCTGTTGAGTTGTGGCAATCATTGTAATTCCGCAACGAGCTCCAGATCCAGATCCTGATACCGGTGCTGGTCCTGATCCTGACCGCCTGAGACGCTTCAAACCCGGCGAGCAGAGCTGAGTGAGGCTGCGGAGCTCCGTGTGCAGGCTCCTCTCTCTCGCCCTGTGTGTGTGTGTGTGTGTGTGTGTGTGTGTGTGTGTGTGTGTGTGTGTGTGTGTGTGTGTGTGTGTGTGTGTGGTGTGTGTGTGTGTGTGTGTGCGTGTGTGTGTTTATCGGCTATTGACTCTCAAATGAATCATGAAGACAGGACTACAGCTGCAGAGTAACTATGAATAAACAAACAATTTGAAGTATTTTGACACCCTCATTTTACGTGCTGGAATAAATATGTACAATACATTATATTTAAATACAATAATATCATATATCTACAACACCCTCATCATACCTAGAGTTACAATAAGGTTTATTGCCAAGCAGCTAAGGTACCTTTGTGATGCATTTAAAGCTATATGAAGGGGAAGTACAAAATCGTAGGCTATAGGAGATATGCACATCACTGAGAACTTCAAACAGCCAAAACTACAAATCCCATCATGCATCCGATCCGACAAATGTCCCTTTTTTTGCCCTTAAACAGTATTTTTCTTACGTCAATTTAACAGTGAATGATGTGTTTTTATCGGTTAAGATAGTAGTATTTGTTTTAGGGAATCAGTGCTTGCTTTGGGGAGTTATATAACCTGCCTTACTTTACCTGTCTGACTGATTGTTGGGGGTTATTAACAGACAGGTGTAGTGCTACAGGTGCAGGACATTACCTCACAGCCGCAGAATAACTAACAGTGTCTGCTAAACTTCATGTAGTCGTTATTTTTAGATACTCAAAGAAAGAACTGTTTACCTTTCTGTTCACTCACCAGTTGCTGCTGCCGCTGCGGGGATTTTATTTTGAAAGTAAATACCGGAAGTCTAACGGTTTTTCTTTGTATTCATGCGGGAGTTTCACTGTCTGACTTAATAATAGATCATTTATAACATTATATCGAATACAATTGACATTTTAAATTATCATTTGTTCTCGTTTCTGTGAGTGTGTGTTTCGAGCGACCGTTGATGTGTTGATTGTATTTATATAATAATAATAATAATAATAATAATAATAATAATAATAATAATAATAATAATAATAATAATAATAATAATAATAATAATAATAATAATAATAATAATATATTGGATTTATATAGCGCCTTTATATGACTCATTTCATAATCAAAATGAATTAAATGAGAATAACATTGGAATTAAAAAAAAGTTAAAAAATGAAATAATTAATCAAATAATGTTTCTTACATTTTAAAAACATTTATAAGATTACATTGAAAACAAACCAGACATTTAAAATATATTGCTTTAATAATTTCCTCCTGTTTGTTCTTTTTTTGTGTTCGCGTAAAATGACCGTTGATGTGCGTTTATTTTGAAAAACACACACTCGGAAGTCATTTTTCGCAGTGGTTGTCGCTGATTGGCTGGCGGCGAAATTTGAAATGCAACGCGCTCATTGTGGAAAGATGCGGTCAGAGGCACAAACAGGTGGTCGTTAAAAAAAAGAAAAGAAACAGGAAAAGCTCAGGGTTAAACTTCACCGAGAGGATAATACTGTCCTACATTTCTCCTGTTAACGGTAAGTTACATTTTCTTCCTAATATTTGCTAGTTCCTTCCGTGGATCAACAGTTAGCAGCTAAAGTAGCCGCCGTGTTGTTTGTAATTACAGTTGACCCAACTTGAGTTGAACGGAATTACCTGTAGATAGCGTTGCTTGATTAGCATTAGCTTGAATATAAACAAAAGAGAACCGCTGAGCCAAATCAGAAACAAGGTTAGATAGATATTAAAGCGAGCATGTGGTTTTTAATGCGGCTAATTGAGATTTTAATGCATTATTTCTGTTTACGTGTCAGGATAATTTCCACTTCCTCTTTATTGCAGATGTCCTAATTTAACACCAACTACAATAAAAACATGCCATACATTAACTAAGTACATGTATTCGAGTACAGTACAATGTTGAGGTACATGTACTATTAACTTCAGTACTTCTGTGTTTTGCTACTTTCAAAACAAGCAATATTAACAGGGACTTAAAACCACACTGTACATTTTACATTTATATTTTATTTAATAATCCGTTCCAGTCTTTTTATGCTGCCTGCAACGCAAAATAATTCCCAAATTGGGATCAATAAAGTACTGGCAGTGGCTCAGTCAGTAGGGGCTTGGACTGTGAGCCGTAGGGTCGCCGGTTCAAGTCCCCGACCAGACCTAAGTATGGAGTGTGGACTGCTACTTGGAGAGGTCCCAGTTCACCTCCTGCCCTGCCGACTGCTCCTAGTACTAGACTCCCGGTACTAGGATGGGTTAAATGCAGATAACTCATTTCACTGTGTGCTCTGCATGAGTGACCATTAAAGACGATTCTATTCTATTCTTTACTTCTTAGGGGTATAATGTGAAATAAATGGGACATTTGATGGAAGCATACAAGTCAAAATATATAATATAGAATGCATAATGCCAAAAAAAAACACTTATAGTCAGAATTAGATTTTTTTTTAAAGATCAAATGGCATGCATAAGGCTTAACATAAGTCAAATTGAAATCACTAGAAAATAGGCCTTATAAAATGTTAAATATAAAAATGTATCCATTTGTACGATGCATACATTAACCCTGAAGCCACAATCGTCTTCTTTGTTCTTATATGTTCTTTGGAATGACTGTATTTTTCCACCTACATGCGCCCAGGTCTCAGAGGCTTTGAATAAACAACAGTTCCTTTCAGACTCAAAAAACGGTCGTGATTTCACAGGAATAGTTAGTGCCAGATGTCTGACGGAGCCACATTGACCAGCTGCCATACACCAGGTCAATGTAACACTACACACAACTTGTTATCCTATAAACTAAATGTACTTAATGTTGCTTTTCAGGGTGTTGAGATAAAGGCCATGATGCAGACTGCGGTGCTGAACCTGCAGAGCTTGTATGATAAGCTGAGGTCGCAGGTGGACCTCCTCAATGACAACATCGAACCCAGTGAGTATTTTATTCATCTTTTCAAAGATTCAAAGGTTTTATTGTCATATGAACACAAGCTACAGTGTAGAAATGGCAATACAATTATTCTGACCTGAGCTCCTCCAACAATGCAACATAATCAAATATAAAAAATTGTGCAAGAAGTCTATATACATGTCGGACAAAGTCAAAAGCTGAACACTGAAATAAAACGGTAAAAAGGCAGAGTTGGAGAGGAGCCGAAGACACGGCAGCCATCATCACCGACGCCATCTTAGAATACTTTTACTCACTTTAATAGAGCGGTGCAGGGATGATGTATGTTTGTAGTTCGACCCTGAAGTAAGCTGCTGGTTCCCTCGACAAAAAGCAACGGGATCTCTCCATAGGATTTTGGAATATTGTAAAAAAAAAATAAGATCTGTGGAAAACGAACCTGTTTGATAAATGCACGTTCTGTTCAGCCGGATAATCTCCACATGTCTACTTTTATAATGTTCTAATCATAAATCTAATCTCCAGAAGCAAAATGCTAACGTTATGCTATAAAGGAACTACAGTCGAGTACAGCAGCACGACTTCAACGTCACGCCAACTTCAGATCCATATTCAAACATACAGATACTAAATGGTACGAGTTGAAGCGTTTGTTTGAACAGTTTGCAGGAGGCAGGTACTTGCTTTCAAGCAGAACAGGGCTAACTAACTTAGAGGAGTGTTTATGTGTTCTGCGTAATGACGTACAACGGCCTCCACGACTTCTGTAGTCCTATTCAGCCACTTGGTAACAACCATCGTTTTTCAGACACGTCAACTCTTCAGAAATCACCAGTGGGGTCACTGCTGATGGATTTAATGTCGTAGAACAAAACGTGACCCGTCTCTTCAATGTGTCTCAACCACAGACCTTAGTTCCAGATAGTTTCCAAAATCCTATGGAGAGATCCCATTGGCTCTGAGACGAGGGAACAGGAAGTGGTGAAATGCTGACTCACTTCCGGGTTTTAGGACTCATTCCTGCACCACTCTATATGAAACGTGCCGCATTAGACCCCTGCCTCAGTTATTAACGAGCCTCCCTCTCTTCTCGTCCCAGACTTCATCCAGATGGCTCAGAACTTCGAGGACTGTCGGCTCCGCTGGCAGCGAGCGGAGCTGGATCTTGGATCCTGTAAGGAGGTTCTCACCAAGGCTGAAACCGAGCGGGGGGCGCTGGAGGTCAAACTGAAACACGCCCGCAACCAGGTGGACGTGGAGATCAGACGCAGGCAGAAGGCCGAGGCCGACTGCGAGAAGCTGGTGGGTTGGAACGCGTGTGTTTGTTGATGTGGGCCCAGTGTTCGTCTGCAGGGAAGGAAACATGTATCCCTTTTGTCGGTTATTGGAGTGGATATATTAGAAATAAGATCAATAGGGATTTGGACAGTTTGTGTCATTTATTTTTGTTCATAACATATAATTAATGTTCTCTCTGTATCCAGAGTCCATTGAGATAAACCCTTTCAAACTGGATAGAAACAAATGACACTCTTCAAAAGCATCAGATTTCCAATGGATCTTTAAAAGGTCTTAAAAGCTTTGAATACACTTGCGTAAAAATAAGGTCTTTTAAATATTGTAAGAAGTTGGAATTCAAATGTTATGAAAGTTTTAAATCTCAAAATAATTGGTAATATTTTTGAAAGGCAATTTACCAAATGCCTATCAGGCAAAAGTAAACAACAACAGTCACATGTTGTTTGTTTTCAGCAAAAGACAACAATATATTTTGTTTATTGTGAAGTTGTTGTCAAATGTAATTAACGTTTTAAATCCCGCTTTAGGAAAACGTGTATTTCAAAAACAAGTAATATTTTAAACATTTCCTAACCCTGCTTTCCTGTTTTAATTATTAGTGACGTTGAACGTAGCACAACAATACAAAAAAGTCAGAAGGGTTTCGTGTCCGCTCCCTTTTACTGTGTTTAAAAACCCTGACTGCTTCAGTCTTCTCTGTATTTCTATCTGTTTCAAGGTGTTTCTCCTTCGTTGTATTTCCCCTCCAACAGGACCGTCAGATCCAGCTGATCCGGGACCTGCTGACCAGCGAAGGATCCTCGAACAGCATCAAGCTGAGCGCAGAGCAGCGATCGGCCCTCGCCTTCCTCAACACCAACAGCCAGCCGACTGCTGTCCTGAACACCAGCCGCAGGTCAGACACACACTGTACAACACACACACTGTACAACACACACACACACTGTACAACACACACACACACTGTACAACACACACACACTGTCACACACACACACACACTGTACAACACACACACACTGTACAACACACACACACTATAACACACACTGTACAACAGACACACACTATAACACACACTGTACAACAGACACACACTATAACACACACTGTACAACACACACACTGTACAATACACACACACACACTATAACACACACTGTACAACACACACACACTATAACACACACTGTACAACACACACACTGTACAACACACACACACTCTATAACACACACTGTACAACACACACACTGTACAATACACACACTGTACAATACACACACACACACTGTACAACACACACACACTCTATAACACACACTGTACAACACACACACTGTACAACACACACACTGTACAACACACACACTGTACAACACACACACACACACTGTACAACACACACACACTCTATAACACACACTGTACAATACACACACACACACTGTACAACACACACACACACTGTACACACACACACACACTATAACACACACTGTACAATACACACACACACACTGTACAACACACACACACTATAACACACACTGTACAATACACACACACACTATAACACACACTGTACAACACACACACTGTACAACACACACACACACACTATAACACACACTGTACAATACACTATAACACACACTGTACAACACACACACACACTAACACACACACTGTACAACACACACACACACTATAACACACACTGTACAACACACACACTGTACAATACACACAACACACACACACTATAACACACACTGTACAAACACACACACACTATAACACACACTGTACAACACACACACTGTACAATACACACACACACACTATAACACACACACAGTACTGTAACTGTTATTGTCTTATTGAATGACTATTTTTGTTCCCTTTTTTATTATTATTTGTCAGACTTGTTTCTGTCTGGCACCCCACTCATTAAAATAAGGTCAAACCCGTTACAGTTCAACACACATTATAAAACGGACACGTCAAATCAAGCAATCTGATTGGTTCTTAGCCGTGATATAATCAGCGTATACCACAGGTAGAATTGTAGTTACTTTTCACAACAAGTCAGTATCCCTCCGCGTCTGAGAAAAACTGTATACAGTTGGGCTGAAAAGCAAACGGTCCAGATATAGACATCAAATGGCAAAACATATTCAGTTCAAATTCAAAAGCTTTTATTGTCATTGTACAGAATACAACGAGATTTATAGTTTACTGCTCCAGCGAGTGCTTTAAAAACAGACATATTACAACACAGATTAAAAGGCCTGACAGTTACGACCAGCAAGTAGCGCACACAGCTTCGGATCGTCATGGAGATGAGCAGGATTAATAGATAAATGAATAAAATAGAATTTTGATAAATATTACAGTGTATACATAGAGACAGACCATGATTATTGCACAGTGGGGATATGGGGAGTTATTTGTGTGTGTTTAATGTCCTAATGGCTCATGGGAAGAAACTGTTTGTGAGTCTGGAGGTGCGGGCTTTCAGTGAACGGTAGCGCCGGGCCGAGGGCAGCAGGTCGAACAGATGACGGGCTGGGTGGGATGAGTCCTTCAGGATGGAACTGGTCCTCCTGAGGCAGCGAGAGCTGGTGATGTCTCCCAGGGAGGGCAGAGGGCAGCCAATAATCCTCTGGGCCGTGTTAATGAGCCTCTGCAGAGCCTTCCTGTCGGCAGCCGAGCACCCTGCATACCAAGCAGAGATGCCGTATGTGAGGACGCTCTCAACTGTTAGGGCAGGGATATCTAGATACTTTCCAAGGTTTGACATCATGAATTGTGCTACTTTTAAAGCAAGCAACGATGTTTTCAAATCTGTAATCAAAACGCTATCGACCAATCAGATTGCTTGATTGGACTCGTCCGTTTTATAAATATATTTACATTTCGTCCGTTACGAAACAAACATACAAAGCTTAAGATGGAAACATTTAAGGTTAACTTCGACCTCCGGGGGGGGGGGGGGGGGGGGGGGGGGGGGTCTTACTATGGAGGAGTGGATTGAGCAGTGCCTATCTCCAGAAAGCCCCTAAACGACGACATGCAGAGCTACGTGAAGAGCAGGTAGACCAACTGGAAAAGTATCACCATTCAAAAGCTTTCTGATGCGGGTCTTGAAACAAAGCAGAGAAATTAAGCAACAGCCTAGAACAACCTCAGCCTATACAAGTAACCACGTAAGCCATGCTACTGATGCTGGACAGGTTTTCAGTGGCTGCACAATAAACGGCAACATACACATTAATGTAAATAAATAGCCAAATAATGGATCAACGCTCTCAGTCTAATATGTTCGCTAGCTGTTAGTGTTGTTGCATAGCAACCACCTCGCACTGTTTCGTGCAGAAGGCAACGGAGGGACTATTTTATTTTGAACATCATTATTTACTAATAACAACTATTTAAATTAGTGTGTATTTTTCTTTCATATTGCCACACTTGGTTTTATAAAAGCAATAGCTCACTTCAGGCCGTGATATAAGCTCAGCATATCACAGCTGGTTCGGCCCGACGCAGAGGGTCGACAACCCCCTTAGCTGTGATATAATGAGCATATATCACGGCCTGAAGTGAGCTATTGCTTAAGTACAACACACACAGTACAACACACACACACACACACACACACACACACACACACACAGTACAACACACACACACACACACAGTACAACACACCCCGTATAACACACAGACAGGTTTATGGTGTCGTTCCAGCTTCCTGTAAAGCTTATCAGTGCTCTGTGGTTACATTGAGAGGTCAGAGTTCCTGCTGGTTGATCTGAACATGGGAACGTCTGACACTTTAGACCTGAATGCAAACAGAAGTGTTTTCACATGCCGATACATCACTCTGTATATATCACTTTTAGATAATGCAGAAAGTAGAATTATAAACCGTGTTGCATTAAGGATAAAAACACTTACTTTACTGCTTTTAAAAGAACGTACACACATTGCTTTGCAGAAACAGTCACTGAACCAGTGTTTCAGCCAGACCAGGGCTGAGAGCGGGGTATATGTGCATTACCATTTATATATATATATATATATATCTTTTAAAGGCAAAATGAGAAATAACCCAGTTCCCCAGAGTGTTTTTGTCGGAGCAAAGTGTAAATAAACTTAACGATTCCCGTGTCTCCCGCAGACTGCGCACCATCGACGAGTCGGCCTCCATCCTGTCGGACATCAGCTACGACAAAACGGACGACTCGATGGTGAGTGCTTCGTCACTTCAGTTTAATCGTCATTAAAACAATAACCTGCTTTTATGTTGAGAATGTGACCGTGACGTTGCTCTGTGGCAGGACTGGGACTCGTCCAATGTGAGGACGGTGCGCCTGAAGAAAAGAGAGAAGAGGGTGAGATCAGAACTCAACAGCCGGTCCTCTGTGAACGTCCGTGTTTCACTTCAACGGGAACTCATCGGTCTGATTTTTATTTTCAGCGCTCCTCCAGAAATCACGTCGACGGACCTCCAGGCGCCTCCAAGCGCTCCAGATCCAACGGGAGGAACGCAGAGAGGGTAGGGGAGGATTTTAATATCCCTTTTTATAGTTCAGAGCTTCATTGATAATGTTTCTGAATCAATAATCACACGATTCCTTTGCCGATCTGTTCTTTAATTCATGTGATCCAAACATTTTCAATAACTCCACAGCGTCCAAAATATGGATGCAATCATTTCCAAAAATGCACAAAATGTTCATGTCAAACTAAATATTTAGCTTCTAAGCTAAATATTGTGTTTAGATATTCATACTTTTTTTACTAGACAAAGAAAGCGATTTTTTATATTTATGTTCATTAATATAACAGATCTGATTTAATACAAATTTATAAATTCCCCTTTTATTTATTAAAACGTAATCCCCTTTTTAAATGGAGAGGAAAAACTAAATTAAATCAGCTTTGCCAACTAGAGGGGATGTTTAGATGCTCTTAACACTTCCTGGTCGCACTGCACGTAGTTTGTTTAAAGTGATTTACTCGTCGTCTCCAGAGTCAGAGCTACATTTGCAGAGACGGCTTTTAGCTTTCTTGCACCAGACGCCTGGAACAAACAATAATTCTGAGGTCTGCCCAAACCCCTGGGTGCTTTTAAATCAAACTTAAAAACATTTATTTTTAATGCCGCCTCTCCTGAGATCCAGTATTTTATCACTTTTTATGAATTGTTGTTATTATGTGTTTAAATGCCCTATGTGAAGCACTTTGGATTAGGGCTGTGCAATTAATCGTATTTTAATCTCGATTACGATTTCGGCTTACAACGATTACAAAAACAACGTAATCGAAATAAAACTATTATTATTTTAATAAAAAAATTAAATAAAAAATGTTTTACATAATTTTTTGTATTGGTTTTTCAGTTGAATCATCCTTAAAGTTCAGGGTAATCAACTGTTCAAAACTATTTTAAATGGATGTTTTCAAAGTAAATGGATAATTGTTTTTAATAATAGTGATATCAATTATTGACCAAAAATAATCGTGATTATGATTTTTGCCATAATCGCACAGCCCTGCTTTGAATTAGGGCTGTGTCTTAAAATGTGCTGTCGTGGCGTTTGAATTCCTCTGTCGGGGTTGTGAGTTATGACGCGCCTCTCTTTGCTTCCAAACTAACTTTGTAGAGATCGTTGTAGCGTTGAATCACATCAGATTTATTGATTGATCCAGGCAGCGTACAAACATGAAGACACACTTCCTCGCTTCAAAGTAACTCAAAGTTCTCCGTGTCAAAATGGAACAAAAAGAACACGGTCAAAAGACTCTGCCGCTTCCTGTCTAATCCCAATCAGCTGTGTCCCATTGTCCTGCCATGCAAAGACATGCACGTCATACCCTACAGCGCACATTTCACAGCATATAAGTGAGACTTAAATTAACACCTTTTAAACCGTGGTGTGACTCTCAAAAACAAATAAGACTTTACTCTAAAGCCTTATATTATTATTACATTCAAACCATAATGATGAAAGGGAAATGGCTCGAACATGTGCTTTACAAATAAACTAACCTTGAACCTTGATTATTCTGACGGTTATTTGTATCGTGTTCAGGGTTCTTCTTACGGTCATTACAAACCTGGAAAAGTCATGGAAATTCAAAATGCTAATTCCAGGCCCTGGAAAAGTCATGGAAATGTAACTAAAGTTGCATCAAATATCATTTATATTTTATCTAATCGCCGAAATAGTAATACTATAATGATAATAAATACTGTATAGTATAGTAATGAAACGTAAAATGGCATTTAACTGACGAGGTGTTTTGCTGGTGAGAGATTTTAGTTGCTTTAGCGTGTAGAAGCTAGTAAGCCTATTGGATTTGTTTCAGATAGGCACAACATGTTTCATATGCAGACCTTATTTTCCTGTTCCATGTTAAAATAAACCATTTTCAGTGGTACGCTGAGAAAGAGTCATTTTTTTGGTCATGGAAAATTAGGTAAAGGTCCTGGAGAAGTCCTGGAGAAGTCATGGAAAATCATTGGTGAAAAAGTGTATGAACCCTGTGTGTTGTTGCAGGGGAATGAGACTCTGGTGACGAAGACCACGGTGACGGTCCCCGCTGACGGAGGACCGGTCGAGGCCGTCTCCACCATCGAGACGGTGCCGTACTATACCCGCAGCCGCAGGAAGACCGGTGAGACTTCATTATCATTCAGTTTGTTTATTAACCTCAGGCTGTTCAGGTGCCTCAACTCATCCAGGATAACTTCAGCCAGTTTCAATGATCTCTGGAGTTGTCATCCAATTTATTTGATTAGTGAAATAATGGTTTTAAAGTTGATTTTGGTCAAAGTATATTTGTTTTTAGGGCTGATTATGTTGCTGTTAAAATCACAGAATAGGAACATGTAATGCCTGAACTTATCCTTTTAGTCTTGGATGAAATCCCTTAAAACCATGCTTTCATTTTGAAGTAAAGATGTTTTTACAATGAATCGTAAGCCATCATCTACCAGATAATCTATCGTTCTTAAAATACAGACAGGTGGCTCTTGTGATGCAGCTGAAATCACATCTAAAGACGGCACATCTACCTGTTGTTTAAGATGATTTCATGAACGTCTGGAGTCTGAATATGCAGCAGAGATGATCCACAGTCTCCCTATCAGAGCGGCATGGTGGTTTTAACGTTGAGTTTTATTTCTTTGTTTTCTTCCGTCCAGCCAACATGGAGTGGGACTCTGAGTCGGTGAAGTCTCAGGACGTCTTCAAGCAGCCGGAGGTCCTTCAGGAGAGACGGGCAGCACCAGGGACGCCTCAGAACCTCGGGGGGGTCCGGCTGCACGACTTTGTCTCCAAAACGGTGAGAAACACATTCAATCTGACGAGAAAAAAGGGCCTGTGTCCTTTTGATGAACTGTTTCTAATAACTCCACCACGGCCAATGATAATCAACATTTACTGAAAGCATAGAACTGTAATCATATACAAATGTTCACGTCTAATGAAGTAGACATGCTTCTTACCAACGTTTGGGGGTTTTAAAAAGCATTTTCAGTACATTCAGAAAACAGTTTGCACTCCCCGGAAAGGAGGCATGAGTTAGAGTCATGAATTAAAGAAAGGTGATGGAGTGAAAATGTATAAATTCCAATTAATTTGTTTATTTAAATTGTCCATTTTAATTTAAAGGCGCTGACGTCCAATTAATGATCCACTCCAAAACGTTGATGTTTAAAAGTCATTTGCTCCACCTCTATGTAATCACTTATGGCATATCATTATACTAATGAAGTCAGCTTTGTCCACTAAGGGGATGTATGTTTTGGGTCTGGAGATGATGTGTTTAATCTGACGAGAGGGAAGCACTTTCTTTCGGGCCACGTAGCGCCTTTTTATGAATTGTTTCTATGATGGATGTCCTGTCAGCGTGTCACCGCTGATGTGAGACTGACTGACTTTGTCCCGTTGGATTTCATCATGTGTTCGTGTAATTTGTTTACACAAACTGAGTCTTTCTTTTTGATATACCTCTGGTGTTTAGAGACATTTCTGATTTGGAGGAGGCACTTTGTCATCACCGTCTGTCATCAGCCTTTGAGTGTGACTTGAGTTTAGTTCTTATGGTTCTTTAGGTTGACCCTCAGTCTCCCCCCCCCCCCCCCCCCCCCCCCCCTCCTGTTGAATGTCTCCAGGTCATAAAGCCCGAGTCGTGCGTGCCCTGCGGGAAGAGGATCAAGTTTGGGAAGATTTCTCTGAAGTGTCGTGACTGCAGAGTGGTTTCTCACCCCGAGTGTCGGGAGCGATGCCCCCTGCCGTGCATCCCCAACCTGGGGGCCACGCCCGTCAAGATCGGAGAGGTGAGAGTGGAGCAAATAACATATTTATTACGCCTACAGAAAAATACATGTATCAAGCAATGGGCCCCGGTAATGCATCGACTAATACAGTAAGAATTGTTAAAGGTCACCTATTGTTCAAAATCCACTTGATGATGTCATAACGATGTTTTGTCTTGAGTAACCATTAGCCAATCAGCAACCAAGGTAACCCCCCCACCTTATCACCTGAATCTCCTCCTAGAGCACCATTGAGAAACAACAACAACAACAACGCTCCGTATTGATGTCTGAGTTCTGATTGTTTATGTGATTTGTTCCCAGGGCGTCCTCGCAGACTACGTCCCCGACACGTCTCCCATGATTCCTCCTCTGGTCGTGCACTGCATCAGTGAGATCGAGCAGAGGGGTCTGCACGAGGTGAGCGCCCATCTGAGGGTCCTTTTTGTTTTCATATATATATTTGTATTGAAGACGCATGGAAAATACATTTAGTTCATTGATAGGAACCACAGTTACAAACAGTTCAAAGCTACTAGTGTTCAGCTTAGTCTCTACTAGTGTTCATCAATTGACAATCCATACATGGTTGATCTTCACTTACGTACAATATGTAAACCACTAGTGTTAGACAAAAAGAGAGATTTTAAGAAGGGTTGCCACTTATGGCGCGTTTCCACTACAGCCCGCAGCACGGTTTAAGAGGGCTGTGACGTCAGCGGCCCGTCTTTGGTTGCGTTTCCACTTGGCCTAGTACCGGCCGGCGGGTCCTAATTCACAGTTTTTCTGGCCTCATAAAATCGTGGGTCTAGGGCCAGAGACAACGAGGCTGAGTCGGGCTGAGTATGCTAAACTAGAGAGAGCGTCGCTGGCAAGGGGGCAACAACTACAACAAGATGGACATATTTGACCGTGATTTAATTGTAATACACGTTTCAAAATGATGCCGAAGTAACAACATACTGATACCGGTTAGTAAAAACCATGAATTAATGCTTTGTCAAGTCTGCAGACAGACGGCAGGCGAAAAACCTTTTAAAATGCGTGTTTTCTAAATGGAGATTGGCTAAGCTAACGTTGTATATGCTCCGACCGTCCACACTCACAACAACGGCCTATACAGACATAAATAAAGCAGCGACTGTATTCACCATGACACAGGCAGTCTGTGGTTTGTACTTGTTTAACTTTTGTCTAGTTTCTGAACAGATATGAGGAGCTGTGAGCTCTGAGTGCTAACAGCTAACGGCTGTGTTGTGTTTCTGGGGTTCTCATTGAAGATCACGTCATGGCTCCGCCTACACTGCGTTACTATAGATACTGCCCCAGTTCCTAAACTGTAATGGAAA